CAGACTTGTGATCCTACTTACAAACACCTTTAGAAAAAATCATTCTATTCATTAAGAGAATGCAACTATATATCTATCCCAACCACTTTCAATACACAGATACAAAATGGACATTCATAGTTATACCCCATTTTTTTAAGTTCCGTTATTGAATATTATAGGTGTGTAAACTCAGCAACATATTCTAAAAGAGACCAGTAGCCCATAATAGCATTGGGTCTAGCCCTGTTTGTTTTTCATCTGAAGTTTTATCTCAGGTACTTCTTATAGTTAAAGAAATTTGACTAACAGAGTAGACATTATCAAACATGGAGATGCTAAACAATGACATAGGATATTAAGGGACCGGCTTTGTGGGTTAACCCTAGTCCTACCTCTAACCTCTTTGAAACTTCCCACAAGCTACATACCAGAGTATAAGGCTCCGAGGTCAGCTTCAGCACAACTTGTCTTTCTAAATCTCTATTCATTCTGCAGGACTGTAATTCTTTCTTGAATTAAATATGACTATGTAATTGTGCTGATCAATGAAATCTAAGAAGTGAAGTATGTGTGTGTGGTGGATTAACTAATGGGCACCTTGTGACACACAGCTGAACTGAATCAGTGTGGTGCTGGGTGTGGAAGGTCCACCTGAGAATTATTGCCAACAGCGTGAAAGTAAAACTGGAGGGGAAGGTGGTACACTGCTGATTTTCTCAGAGATGTTCCTCACACTGGCTTTCCTGGTATGAACTTGGCTGTTTTCATTGTTGGAGGAGCTGGGGTCCTTGCTGTCTCTGAGGATGGCTGCAGTTCTCTTTTGGGGAGCTCTGGCCCTTACCTTGAGCATTGCTTTCTGGCTCTAGTGTAGATCCCTTAGCCTGCTGGCACAGACTTTCTAGCTTCCATCATTGACCTTTCGGCCTTCCCAGGGCAGATCCTTGATACAGACTTGCATAAGACACCATCATGGGCTCTAGGCATCCAGCAGGACTCATGGAGGACATTGCCATGGACTCTAGATCTTCAGCTGGATTCTTTGGGCCTCTAAGTCTGTGTGGACAGATTTCTTGCACTCTTCTGCATTTGACTCTGAGTTAATGTTATGAAATAATTCTATAAATTATGTGTCCTGTATTAAATCCTTTCCCTTGTAAACCCTTACTACAACAGTGTGCCTTCTAAGTAGATGCATTCATTGTTGGTGAATACATGTATTGAACTTGGCTTGCCATTGCTACTCAGGCACTTGATACACATTTTTTGGAAAGTGTTTTGAGATACAGTCTTGCCATGTAGATCATGCTAGACTTGAACTCACTGTGTAGTCCAGGTTGGCCTTGAACTCATGGTGAACCTCCTGCAATAGCTTCCTCAGTGCTTGGATCACAGGTATGTATCACCACTCCTGATATTTGCGTTATTACAGGGGAGAGAAATCTTTAGGAGTATTACACTTATGCAAAACAGTAAATTTTGCGTGAGTGAGGAATTAAATTCTATGGTATGACAATACTGCACTTGGGGGCATATTTGTTATTCAGCATAATGGAAAATTTATAGACTAGTACAGGTGGATTGAGTTTTAGAATCTTGTCTCTATCAATTACTAATCATTGGGTAGTATATCCCATTGCTTAATCCATGCAAATATTGATTTATCTGTGAAGTATAATAAAAACCACAGTGAACATTTGAATTTTTAAAACTATAGCGAAATGCACATTGTCATTAATCCTAACCAAAATAGTCTGCCATGCTTCAGATACACGTATCCCATGGTTTTGCCATTGCCTGAAACAATTTTGAAAATCTTCTTTTGTGTCTTCAGTTGCACTATTTTTGCTGCCACAAGGTTTTGAATCAGTTCCAAATATTTACCTTCCATGGTCCTTCTGACTCTGGGGAAGATCTAGAAGTCACATGGTGCCAGACTCAATGAATAAGACAGATGAGGATGTACTATCATTTTTATTTTTTTCGATGTATTTAGTATAGGTTCTACAGGGTCTCACTACACAGATTGGATTCATAGTGTTCCTCCTGTTTTCAGCCTCCCAAGTGCTGGGATTACAGGCATGTACCACCATGCCCAGTCTCAATTGCCATCTCAGCATTCCCTGGGGGCGAGGCTGACACAGCAGACTGGGGATCGAACTCTGGTCCCTGAGCCTGCCTAAGCAGTGCTTTAGTCTGCTAAGCTATCTGGTCAGTCCTTGTCATGTTTTTATTTGACAGAAATTATTGCAAACAGGGGCCGGGGAGATAGCTCAGTAGAATAAGTGCTTGCCTGGCAAGCGCAAGGGCCTGAGTTCAATCCCAGATTACACACACACACACACACACACACACACACACATGACCAATCAAATTTAGAGCATTTTTGTATACTGGCTCCACTTAAAATGCTTCATAAATAACAGTTCTTCTAGCATAGCATGGAGAACAAATTCTCTGATTCACACCTGAGTACATTCTATGTGTGGAAAAGAGCACTGTGGCTAGAATTCCTTTTGACCTTTTACCATTTCTTATTCCCCCTCTGCCTTACAAGCCTCTGTAGAATTTGAGCCTATCTGGACTGTTCTTCTCTAATTATTCCCCAAATCCTGGTTATGTCTAATGTTCCAGATCAATCTCCTATTCATTTGTGATACAAACAAGGGAATTCCTTGTTACTGGAAGAGGCTGTCAGAGAAATTGTTTGAGGAATTTCTCAAGTACAAAATGGGCATAATAGCACCCACCTCACAGGCTTGTTATAAGGGATATTTTTCATTTTTTAAAGCAGCCTGTGCTATGATATAGACATGATGATTTGTGATTTTTATATATAGATGGAGACAAATACTATGGACGAAGAATCTGAGGCTCAGAGAATTTAAACACATTTCCATCAGCCACTCAGCTAAGAAAAAGAGTGGGAACAATTTCAAACTATGACTTCAATTTTTTTCCTTATATATCCAATTCTGGGTTAAATAGTAAAATTAAGATTTCTTGGAGGAAAACCTAGCCCACAACAGTAGCTCCATAAAAATACTTATTTTGATTCATTCATACACACAGATCGAGCATTACAATGCAGTAGGGAATATATTCCAAGAATTCCTTCAGGAATTCTTTAGAAACACTTGAAAACAGGCATGGAAGGAAATCCTATCTTGTCAATGCTGTCTTTTAAGCTATTTGTGGATGGCCAAGTCCTTAGAAAGCATCTAGCAGAGCAAATCCTAGACCAAATGCATTCTCTGTGTGACAGAAGAAGCCCTTGGAGCCGGGGGGGGGGGGATGTCGCATAATCACACCCCATCTTCCCATGGACCCTCAGGAGAGTGACATTAGTTTTTCCATGTTAAAAGTGGCATATAGACCCAAGGCTGAGCTTTTAGCCTCCCTACCGTGCTGTGCACTCCTCTTGACCTCAGGCCCAGGAGGAAGATGTTTCTCCGTGACCATGATTAGAATTTCCCTGGATCTCTCTGTAGGTTCCATCCCCCTCTGTGCAGAAGGACCATGGTGCTTGTAGCTCATCACTGGCACTCCCATGAAATCCTTAGGGGAAAAGTTTGGGGCTGGGAGAACACCTGCTTACTTCATAGCTGGCACTGTGCTAGGTACTTTCTCGCATCTTCCCCACGGGCTTCCAAAGTGGCTGTCGTGGACCCAGATGACCGATGAGGAAACTGAGTCTGGGAGCTTAAGTGACACCTAGAGTTGGCCCATTATTTTCCTGAACCCTTTTGAGAATATTTCATGATTTTGCTGAGTACCAGCCCTCTTTTGATGTCCCTTAATGAGGGGCCCTCAGTGCTCTCTGCTTGTCAACTGCTCGTTATTGAGAAATGTATTCTATTTATTGATAAGTCGATGTATTGCTGGGCGCGCACACGCATGCGCATGCATGGACGCGCCTCTGTGCTCAGGCTTTTCTTAGCCGTATTCTGGGTATTTGCTGAGGACCATGCTCATACTAGTTTGAGTTTTTGTACTTAACGCTTGGCAACTTTAATAAACTTCATTCTTTTAGGTAGTAGGCTTAATATTTTAAGTATGGCTTTAATTACTGCCCTCTTCATGTTTAAGGCCAAACCAGGAGGAGAAGGCAAAACATCTAACCTATGAGCGCTGCCAGCAGCTTCGCTCTGTCTGAGGACGAAGGCCTGGATTCCAGAACCCGGGAAGGAGGGCTCTCCCTCAGCTGTTTCTCAGCCATGGACACGTAGAGCTTAACCTTCTTTGAATTTCACCGGGTTCTCTTCTTCCCACACAGGCTGTAAACATTTATCTTTGGACATTCCCAGAAATGTTTCTTATGGAAGGGATTAGCTGTTAGTGCCTTGAACTTTTGAAGGTGAGCTCCTCAAACTTAACTCACATAATTAAAGTGGAAAATTCCTGGTGAAGGGGGAAAAAACCTTGAGGGAAAATACCATGTTTGGGAAGAGAGCTGGACTCCTGCAGTCTCCTGAGACAGCTCTATGTTCCTGGGTACTTAATTATATTTTATCTTGCTCTGCACTCGGGCTTCTTTTATCTTTTCAAGCTTAACTCTGCATTGAGATGATAAGCAACTTGCGGGCAGGGATTGTCATGTGGGAGTGGGCTGAGAGGTTGGTTTAATAGTATAAGTTTTAAACATCAGTCATTACTTTTTGGTGCAAAGTACGTACAGAAGAAAGTAACAAAACAACAGCTTTATAGTTCAGGCTGAATCCTCTTGGAGGCAGTTTTGAAAATTCAGTGATAGCAGTTCCTCCATCTGAGGGGATAGGTATGTTCCGAGACCCCTTGCTGAAACCTAACACTTGAATAGTACAAGCTGCATTTGTACTCTGTGTGTTCCTAGACATATATACTTCTGATAAAGTTTGACTTACAGATCAGGCACAGAGGCTGGGTATGGTGGCACACAGCTGTGATCCCAGCACTCTGGGAAGCTGAGGGAAGTGGATTGCAAGGTTGAGCCCAAGATGAGCAACATTAGCAACTTAGTGAGGACCTGTCCCCAAAATGAAAACTTAGAAAAGGATTGAATTGATGGCTCAGCATGAAGGTGTTGGGTTCAATCTCCACTACCACCACCACCACCACCACCAACAACAACAACAAAAAGCAAACAAAAATAAAGCATAGTAAGAGATTAAGAACAATAACTAATAATGAAGTGTTCATAACAACATGCCAGAATTAGAATTATATGAGTGTTATCGCTTAAAAGTGTAAAGACAATTTTTCTATTTTTAAAATTTGGTACAGAGTCTCACTACACAGCTCAGACTTGTAGTGATCCTCGTTTCTCAGCCTCCTCAGCACTGAGATTACAGGCGTGCGCCATCATGCCTGGTTTCGGTGGCTGGCACAGTGTGTCTGGGGTTTCAGGGCTGGTACTGGCACATGGTCTCGGGGATTTAACTGGGGTCCTTGTGCTTCTCAGGCAGGCACTTAGACCACCGAGCTATCTCCCCAGCCCAAGACAAAAATCAATATTGTAAAGAATGGTTGACATCAGATTACTAAAATCATGGATAATGGGATCATGGTTACAGGCAGAGGCCCTGTATAATACAGAAAAGTGCAGAATGAAAAATCCTGCTTTCTTTGAGTAATAATAGTTTTTGTCCTCTGCAAAAACTATAACTGTTAACATTTTTTGATCATCCCCCCAATTTAAAAACTATATTTATGGTCTAATCTTAGGGCCACCTAGGAGTTCCATATTGTTTATGCTATTTGCTATCATGCTTGATTTTTCACTGTTGTAGATACAGACATTGTATTCTATGCGTCAGTTATTTCTTTCAGAAGAATTCTTACTTAAAAATACCAATGGCAGGGAATAATATTAAATGCTTGTTATCCTTCCTGCTCCAACTGGAGCATTATGCCTGAGCTAAAAGTGCCAGTCCTGGAGTTCGACTCTCTGGGGTCCAGTCCAGGTTCTGCCCCTTGCTGTCTCTAATGAACCTCCTTGCCTCAGTTTCTCCATCTGCAAGTAGGAGTAATGATAGTTCTTGCTCCCTATGGTTGTCATGAGTGAAAGAATACATGAGAAGTGCTGAGAATGACACAGTCTACAGCATCGTAGGGTTGGTCTTGAAAAATGTTAGCTATTATACTGGTAGTATGTCATTAAAACTGAACTAGGAATGATTTTTAAAACAACTGCCCTTTCTGAGTACCTAATAAATGTCAAACATGGTCTGCCCAACTGCTTCATGTGCCATGACTCATAATAATCTCCCATACACTCCTGAGAAGTAGGTTCTGGTCAAAACAATCCATTTTACAGAGGTAGAAACTAAAAAGCATAGTGTCACCTGCTAAGGGTCATGCAAGTAGGTCTCACAGGCCAGCTGGCCTTGGAGGGCGTGGGAGTCTGATGCTTTCTGCTGGGCCTGTGAAACCAGCACAGTTCTAAGAGTGGAGCTCAGAGGCTTCCAGTCCCAGAGATGAAGTCAAAGAGCAGGCTGAGCAGGTAACGGGAGGCACCAGTGGGAGGGGTGCCTGGCAGAGAGCAGGAAGGCTGGCAGAGGGGTCAGAAGCATCAAAGGAGCTCTGTTCCTAATGCAAGTTTTGCAGAAAGCCAGCATGAGATCTGATTTCCTCTGTGGCCTCCCAGTTGCCTGGGGCAGGGAGTTGCTGGAAGCCGCAGGATCCAGCCCTGAAACCAGGTATTCCAGTTCTACCCTGAATTCCACCACCTTGGCATCTCACGTTACTTCAAAAGCATGTTTCCTCTTCTTTAAAATGGGGATCATAAATCCTGGCTCCCAGCCCCATGGGGCTGTTGTGAAGCGCAGTTGGATCAGTCTGGGGATGTTTAAGTGCTTGGTTAACTAGAACAGCTTGCACAGAGATGCTCCATATTGTTATTGACTTGCTGCATACCTGTGAGTTACAAGGGGGTACACTCGATCTCATAAAACAGATTTAGTGACAACCCCAAAGTGTACCTCCTTGGGCTAGAGTTTATGGTGCCAGGGATCCTAGGATTGTCTGTAATCAATTCAAGAACAGGTAAAGAGCCCAGGAGGCGTGTGGATGAGCAGTATGTCATTATCTAGGTTCATGATAGCTGGTTTGAAGAACACACCGTAATCAGCCCTCTCTTTTCTGTATTTCCACTCCTAGCAATTTGGGGCAACTTGGGGGCTGCTTGGTGTCCTCTCTCATGAGTTGGTATTTGTCCTGCTTTATGGTCTGGTCTGCTGCAGGGCCACATACCAGATGGAGACACAAAGCAATCGACAGCATCCTGGCCATTTCTTATGGATCCAATATCCTGTGTCTTGGTTGTATTTCAGGCCAACTTTTAGTGAAGCAGATCAATGCTTGAAGCACATAATGTAACATGATTCTTCAAGAGTTTGATTAATTGTGTCATAGTCACAGCCTCAGTTCAGGTTCAACCTTTTAAAAGTTTTATTATTGTATAAAGTGATCAATCAGGGAGAGAGGAAAGACAAATGCTCCATATCGGCTAGGTCTCCCTCTCTTCTTTGTCAGCAAGTGTTGTCTCCTGGTCAGCCTAGCTGGATCACTGGGGAGAAGCCAGCGCTCATGAAGACTCATGGTGGGGCAAAATTGGTACCAACAGAGAAACTTTAGCGCACCAAGTGGTGGTGAGACTGCTCTGGCGCTGATCAGTCTTGGCCAGTGTGGGGTGCAGGGAGATTAAAGAGATTCCTATTCCCGCATCTCACCACAGAGACCCACATGCCATTGGTGTGAGCAAGGTCTAGATCCCTAAAGGTTGAACTGTGAAGCCAACTATTTCTGTGTTGCATTGTGGCTGCCCAAAACTCGTATGTTGAAGTCCTAAGCCCCTGTATCTTGGAAGGTGACTATTTTTGGAGACAGGAATTAAAGAGGTAAATTAAAGTAAAATGAGGTCATATGGGTAGGCCCTAATCTAATGTGACTGGTGTCCCTATAAGGAAAGGAAGTTCTCACATACGAAAACCATGCAAAGTCACTGGAAGGAGACAGTTCTTAAAAGAACTCAACCTTGCCAGTGTGGACATGTTGGACTTCCAGCCTCCAGAACGATGAGAAAATAAGGTTTGTTATTTAAGCCACTGAGTCTGTGGTGCTTTGTTATGGCAGTGTGAACAAATGACATGTCTAAGACTGAATCACTGGTCTGGGGGCAAAGTAGCCAGAGGAAAAACCTTTAGCTGAGAGTTTACTTGGAGGTTCATCTCTCCGAGTTTCTGTGTTTTCTCTTCACAATCCTCTCCTGCATTTGTTCCTGCTGGAGTTTGCTTTTGCAGTATGAGTTGATGAGGATGTAAGGTTTTAGTTCTTCCAGAAGGACCTGAGTTTTAATGTAGGATTTTTAAAGCTAGATTGCTCTCACTGAGAAGGTAGGTGAAAAGGATTTCTAAACATCATCATTCAAGTAGAGGTCAATATTTATTATATGCCACACATTGTTATAAGTAGCAACTTTGTTCCTATTTTCTTTTCTAGAATCTTCCCAAAATCTTTAGGAGGTGTGTTTATATGAGGAAACTGAGGCACAGAGGGGTTGAGCATCATATCCGAGATCTTAATGTTAGAGCTAGGACTTGAACCAAGGAAGTCTGACTCCAGACACCATTTACCACTCAAAGGGCCTCCGTGGTACTGTTAATGTCAGAATAGCTTTAGGGTAGCTTTGTTTTTCTAACAGTAGCTATCGGGACCACTTCTCAGTAATTTTTCTCTTTCAAATCCCTGAGGCAGTGCTCTCTGTGGGAAATCTTACTGTTCCTAAATATAGTCACCCCTCGATTAAGTCTCTTACAGAAAACAGTGCAGTATTTGCATATAACCCAGGCAATCTTCCCGTACACTTTAAATCATTGGTAGATTACTTATAATACCTAATATAATACAAGTGATCTACAAATAGCTGCTGTACTGTATTGTTTAGGAAATACTTGTGCATGAGTTTAGTGTAGGTGCCTTTTTTTCCTGAATGTTTTTGATCAGTGGTTGGTTAAATCGACAGATGAGGAGCCCATGGATACAGAGTGGATTGCCGTGTTCATCAGCATCTGTCATAGTCCTGTGACTTGCTCTGGCTGCCAATAAAATGAGAGAGAAACTGCTGGGCACTGTTCCTAAGGGCACTATTTCTGCTTTAAAAACCATTGTGTAAGAGCGGGCGTGGTGGTGCACGCCTGTAATCTCAGCCCTTGGGAGTCTGTAAACAGGCGGATCACTTCAAGTCCGACCTAGTAGTGAGACCCTGAACACCCTGTAGACCCTCCACTAAAATACAAACAAACAAACAAGAAACCATTGTGGTCTCTCTTCTCCTTCCACTGTGAGAATGTTTTGAAGGCATTGCAGGGTTACTCCTCTGTCTAAGTCTCAGTATACTGTAAAAATAAGGTGGAAGAGAGATACAACCAACCTGCCAATGGAAAATACATCTTGGTTGAAAGCTGTTGAGACTTAATGGTTGTTTAATTTTTTAGTTTTTAAAAATCATTTATTTATTTATTTGGTGCAGTGTCTCACTATGCAGCTCAGACTCAGAGGATCCTCCTGTCTCAGCCTCCCCAGTGCTGGGATTACAGGCGTGTGCCATCACGCCTAGTTTTGGTAGCTGGCACCATGCACATGGAGTTCCAGCGCTGGCAGGCATGTGGCACCGGGGATCGAACTCTGGTCCTTGTGCTCACCAGGTAGGTGCTTAGACCACCACACTATCTCCCCAGCCTCCTTAATGGTTCTTTGGCATTACATCATTACTTAGTAAAAACTAACTGATATGATCTCTGGATATCAATATATTTAATCTGAAATACCAGGAATACTGTAAGAATAATGTCTAATCAATAAGCATATCCTAAATAACCTATAAACTACAGTATAGTTTAATCCAGGCAATCTTTCAAAACAGCTTTCTACCTTCTACAATACTTTTTATGTATCCATCTAGCCACATCTCAAAAGGCAAAGAGAACGTAAGCATTTGCCTAGCTCAGTATACTCAGAGCCAATACTTCACAAAAGAACCAGTAAGTACGGCTGGAGCATACTAAAAGTTATTTTAGATTTTGAGAGATCAAATAGCCTGGGAGAGGAAAAGAATGTGTTTTCTATGCAGATAGGAATTAGACCTTCTTAGGGTTATGGCTTGTTTCCTATTGTCCCTCCAAAGGGTCCTGTAGTCATAGGCGGGGCTTTTCAGAGGTGTCTGGATCCAGGATGCAATGCTGGGATCAAGGACATGATGCTAAGACTGATTCATGGGCAACACTGGGACTAAGGCTGCCCCACCCTAGTGTGAGTGCTACCCAAGGGTGGGCAGCCTGGGAAGGATAGAAGGGACAGAAACAGGCATTGCTTATTGCTTGCTACTTTGCTGCTTTCTGCCTACAACGAGCTCTTTCTCCTCTGCTATGCCCATCTCCCGGGCCGTCCTGCCTTGGAGTCAGTCAACTACGAATTGCAATCTCTGCAAACGGTGAGTTACAATAAACCTTCGATCCTTAACCTTGAGTATTGAGTATTTTACCCCCACAAGGAGAAATGTAACAATGTGTATTATCTCTTCCATGCTTTATACCCTGTGGATACTGCTTTTAGTTCTCAGATACTCACTTGTCTTTCCTGAAGGTTCCAAATTCATGGCCTGTGAGTTAAATATGGTGTGTAAAAACCTGTCATTTGGTCAGTTCTAAATGAAACACTATAGGTGTTTCGATCAAATTAACTGCCATTGTTGAAAGCTTGAGATATTTTGCATAAAAAAATCAGTATTTCAATCTTTTCTTACAAAATTGTAAGTCCTGGTTATTTTGAGCTTGGGAATCATCAGCTATTTTGAGTAGCAGCTTCCCCTTAAGCTGGACATGTCTACCATAGTCCTACCTCTTCTGATTGCTTCACACTAGGCCCAACTCACTTATCTATATTCTTTGTTTAATCCATGTTTGGATTAAACCATTTGAGTTTGCCAGGCTGGG